CTCTGTCCCAGGCCCTGCCCTAAAAGAGCAGGAAATGCCCGAGGACCCAGGGCACCAGCCAGCATGGCAGGGTGGCGGTGGGTGGGTGGGGCTGTGCTGCAATCAGGGCTACTCAGCAGTGGAGCCGTGTTGCCACAGCTTCCAATGCCCATGAAAAAGTGGACATTCAGATTTTTTTAGTTTTAGTAAAATGTACGTAAGACTTACCATTTTAAGTGTACGGTTCAGTGGCATTAAGTATATTCACAATGTTGGGCAACCATCACCACCATCCTCTCCAGAACTTTCATCTTCCCAAACTGAAACTCTCTCCCCTTTAAACATTAACTCCCTCTTTCCCTTCCTCCAGCCCCTGATAACGTCTAATCTACTTTCTGTCTTTATGAGTTTGATGACTCTAGGGACCTTCTCATATAAGTGGAATCATACAGTATTTGTCCTTGGTGTCTGGCTTATTTCATTGAGCATAATGTTCTCAGGGTTTGTTGATGTAGCATGTGTCAGTACTTAATTCCTTTTTTCAAAAAAATTTTGTTTTTATTGATTTCAGAGAGAGGAAGGGAGAGGGAGAGAGAGAGAAACATCAATGATGAGAGTCATTGACCGGCTGCCTCCTGCACGCCCCCTGCTGGTGATTGAGCTGCACCCCGGGCATGCGCCCTGACTAGGAATCGAACCCTGACCTCCTGGTTCCTGGGTCCACGCTCAGAGGGTTGATGCTCGACTACTGAGCCACACTGGCTGGGCGGTACTTCATTCCTTTTTATGGCTGAATAACATTCAGTCGTATGGATGAGCCACATTTTGTTTATCCATTCATCCATTGATGGACACGGGTTGTTCCCCCTTTTTGGCTGTTATGAATAATGCTGCTGTGAACATCGGTATACAAATATCTGGTGTTGGTGTTTTTAACCCTTACCCGAAGATACGTTTTCATTGATTTTGAGAGAGAGGAAGGGGGAGAGAGAGAGGGAGAGAAAAACATCCATCAGTTGCCTCTGAGTATGCGCTCCTCCTGGGGATAGAACCCACAATCCCAGTATGTGCCCCGACTGGGGATCGAACCCACAACCTTTCTGGTGTATGGGACGATGCTCTAACCAGCTGAGCCACTTGGCCAAGGCTAAATATCTGTTTGAGCAAGGACTCAGGTAGAGACTTGTACACTCATGTTCACAGCAGCATTAGTCAAAATGCAGATTTAAAAAAATGTGGATTTGCCCAACTTAGGATAACAAACAATACTGCAGGTCTAACAAAACCCACTGGAGGTGTGGATTCCACACCTGGTTTGCAGCCCTAGTCTCAGAACACACTACTAGACCAAGAGGAAGGGGGCTCCTTGAGGCCAGTGACTTCCCTGGAGTTCAGGGTGGGCTCACAACATCATAGAGGACTTGCCATCCCCAAACAGAGCCAGGCCCCGTTAGCCTCTGTGCCTCTCCTTTGCCATGCCGTGAATCCGCCAGTCCCATCCACCCGAGCTCTTCCTGGGGCTGGAATGGTCAATGATGGCACCCCAGCTCTCACCCCCTCTCCAAGTCTCAGCTCAAAAGTGAGCACTGCGCAGGGCTCCTGGTTTAAGATTGCATCCCCCCATCCCACCTCCCCACCTCCCATTTCCCCCCGTTGCTGTCCTAACCGCCTCCCTGTTTTGGTTTTCCCCATGGACCTTATCACCTATCAGACTAAACGACTTACTGTGTTGATTCTGTTCCTTGCCACAAGGGCAGGATCATTTGAGGTTTGTTCATTGCTGGATCTCCAGCTCATAGGGCAGCGCCTGGCACGCGATAGGTGCTCAGTAGGTCTTGGTTGATGATGAATGAATACCCCTGTTCATATCTCTGCCCTGACCCCGGTGCCCACGTCTGAAATGCTGCTGGTGAGTCACTTCTCTGGGTTGAGTACTGCCAGCTCCAGCTGCTGTTTCATGTAAGGTCTCTGCATGCTGTTTTGTCATCTACACCTTGTTTTGGATTCATCGATGTCCCTAAGATGACCTGGCAGTGAGTGGTAGGGTGAGCAGCCCATCCATCTCACGTCCAGGTGAAGAGATGCTCAGCCAGGGTGCCTGGTGTGGGTCCAGCATACGGTAGGCACTCAGTCGATGTTTTGCTGAATGACTGTTGAGTCATGCCAGGACCTCCACTTCTTGGGAATCAGACAGCCGGTCTCTGGGGCCCTTGCCCAGGACTTGTGCAAAGAAGTCTTCACTGGATGTTCAGGACTTCCTCTGGCTCCCACCGGGCCCTGATCCTTAAGGCCCTTTTCCTGGCCACCCCATCTCAAGGACAGAAACATCTTCAGTTACATCCCTGCCTCACCTGGGCAGTGACCCAGATCTCATGAAAGGCAGGAAAAGCTGGAACAGAGAGGAAATGACAGGCAGAAGGCTGGGGCATCAGTCCCTAGTGGAATCCTCCAGACCCTTCCACTCTCATTTATTCATTCAACAAACATCCTTTGAGGCTCGCGTGTACCAGGCACTAACCTAGAATCCGAGGATCCACGGGAGCTTCCTTACACTGCCCCCACAGCACCCAATTTCAGGGTGGCCCTCCAGCGTCCATGCCCACCGCTACTCCTTTCTTGACACTCCCTCCCCAGTCCCATGGCCTCTGTGCCCACCCCCATGACACCTCACTGTCATTACTTTTTACCTGCTTCCCACCCCTGGGGGAGATGTGTGTTGCCTGAGGATAGGACCCATGTCTTACTCATGGGTAAGTGTCCCAGTGCCCAGCACAGGGCCTGGCATACAGCAGGTGCCCAATAAATGCTTATCAAGTGAGCTGGGGAGGCCAACCACCTCATTTTCAAGAAGGGAGTGGGCTGTGGGACTGCGAGGGGCATGCCTAGTCATAGGGTTCAGAGATGGACCCAGGAGAGCGAGCAGGTGAGGAGGGGGGCACCCTCCTCCCACCTAGAAAAGTTCTGCTTGGCTGCTGAGGGGACCCCATAGAAACTGCTCCTAATCTTGGCCACTCTGTGTGGGTGTTTTCCTGCAGTCCCTCCTCCCTCTAGTCCTGGGACAGAAAATAATGCATCAGCTGGGGACTATTCAAGGCTCCTGCACCCTGTCCGTGGCTTGTCTTTGGATGGGGTGGGACAGGGGCTCATCCCTACAGTCTAACCTGAGCTGCCTCCTGCTCCTCAGTCAAAGCAGGGCCAGTAAAACACACCATGATCAGTGGCAGGGTTCCCAGACCCTGCTGTCCATTGCACCATCTTGGAACCCTGCCACCACTGAAACCCTGCCAGCATGAGGTGGCAGCATGGATGCCCACCCCTGGGGCAGGCTCTAGGGGCAGAACATGTTGGCCAAGCTGGAGTGAGCTGAGACTCTGACGTAGCAGCCCCCAGCCCCTTCCCAGCACCCTGTCCATCTGTGTCTCAGCCCCAGAATCACCCAGCACTCACTCCCTCTCTCCTCCAAGCGCTTATGCCCAGCCTGCCCTCTGCTGACCCTCTGCAGGGCCAACTTCAACTTACTCTCCAGGCCTCTGTTTCAAGGTCCTCCTTTTCTGAGCAGCCTGCACTGGCCCCGAGTGGAGTCAGGTACTTCCTCTGGGCTCCTGAGGCCCCACCCACCCTCATGTATGACCCCTGGTGACAACTGTCCATCCACTGGACTGAGGTTCCTAGGCTCCACTGAGTCTAGTCCAGTAGCCTATCTTCAAGCTCAGGTTTCAAATCCAGGTCCCACCACTCACTAGCTGGGGGGCCTTGGGTAAGTCACTAACCTCTCTAGGTGGCCTCAGTTTCCTCATCAGCAGAATGGGATAATAATAAGGGAATTTGAGGATAAAATGAAGTGATTCCTGGTGCACTAAACACTGTCAACTGTTATTGTTATTTGTCTTCCCCCTCCCTAGATATAGCAAGGGCCCAGTTTGAGGTTTGTTGATTAAATGAAAGAAGGGACAAAGATACACGTCTGTTTCAAGGGAGGAAGAAGCCTGCTCCTCCTGCTTGGGGTGGGTGGGGATGTCATGTGTGGGCACTGAGTCAGGGGAGACCTGCCCTCAGGGTAAGGGTCTCGGAATCAGGAAGGCAGGCTCTGAAGGAGTATGGGGGAGCACCTTGGGTCCAACACCTGACCTGAACTCTTCCAGCAATTGCAGCCCCGTGACCTTTTGACCCCCTGCGGGGAGGAGCTTCCAGGACCTCAGGGGCGGGGCAGAGTGAGGGAGACCCTGTCTCCCAGCCCTTTCCAGGCAGCCACCTGGCTGGCCCCGCCCACCCTGGCTTCCTGGGAGTGCAGGTGAAGGGTGAGTAGTAGGGCTTCTGAGTGACAGGGCCCACAGGAAGGTGGCCCCAGGACTGGCAGCCACTGGGGGCCTGATTCATGGCTTCCCAGTAAGTGGGTTAACGGGATCCCAGAGCCCTGGGCTGGGCCAGGTCTCCAGGCTGAGTCAGGGCAGCAGGGCCCCTGAAGGCATTAGCCTTACTGAACCTCTGGGCAACCCCCTTATCTCCCTAAAGCCCTGGGGCCTCTCCAACACCTCATACCTGAGCCTCCCGCTACTGAGGACCCAGGTCCTGGGTTTGAGCACCTGCCCTTCCCTACATGGAGTCCCTCCTTTCAAGCTGGGAGGACCTTGCTCTGCACCCCCCAACTCCTTAGTCAAAGTCAAGGCTATGATACAGTTCCCCTAGTCTGTCCTCCTGAGGCCAGATCCTGGGCCCACAGCCAGAGCTAGTGTCCTGAGCCCCAGATCCAGAGCCTGAGTCCATTGGTCCTGTCCAGAGGCAGGGGTCTCAGCTAGAGCCCCCCCAAGTTCCCGTTAAGGCTCATTTCCTCCTGGCAGCCCCACCCCTTCTGGTGACCTACAGCCCCAAGTGGCAGGGACTGAGACACTCACTGGGGGGACTGGTCCAACAGCATTCCGCCTCCCAGGATAAAACCTGGGGTGACCTGCAGGGAACTCTGCACACTCCTGGTGGCCAGCACAGCACAGCTCTCCAGGCCGTGGACACACCACCCACAGGACATGCTTGTTTCCAGAACCCCCCCAGCCCTGGGTGGGGTGTGTCTCAGGATCTTAACATCCCTGCTGCTTCTGGCTTCTGCTGGTGAGTCCTGAGGACCTGCTGTCCCTCCCTCTCTGCCCCTCCAGGATCACCTCCGCCTCCCTCTCCACTCAGCTACTCCCACCTCTGACTTCCTTCCTGGTCCTGCCGGAACCCAATCTCTTCCTTTGCTCTCCCCCCCTGTCCCCCACCTTCCA